ATTCTATTATTTAATTTATTAGGATATCAATTCAATTAAATAATAGATATTGCCATACATAAGCATCAATTATATATATTTAAAGTGTTTATGTCCAATGTTGATTGGACTTAGGGCATAACACTTACAATTATGAGTGATCAATATGGTATCCCCAGTACTCAAACATGAAAAGCTTCTTAGAGTTTTTTCTATAACAGATTTTGGGTTCGAGAGTTGGATGAATTTTGTCGAATGCGGCTGCAGTTTCATGTATTCTCCGGCCGGGAGAAGGGTGCTTTCGACCACAAGAATCTCTCCTCCTTGCAAATTCAAGTTCTCCATCATCCAATCAGGCACCACGATAGAGCCCTCGTCTGCGGTGAATTCCAAGACGCCGCAATGCGAAGCCCGTTCTGGATTGTAATATTTTTTAATCTGAAACAGATATGGATATGTGATTTGCCTGACAATCAATTCATGTAGGGCTGAAACGGGCATAAGAATTTTATCGCCACATTCATGTTCAGGGTTTTTGGATTTGGATAAAGGAATACAACGATATGCTTGTTTGAATCTGTTGTCCATATTGATTTTTCGTTCAATAATTAACTGCGAAAGTAGAACCCTAAGCCCGGAAATTGAACAAAACCGTTAAGATGAAGAAATTGCTACTCCGTGTCTTACATATTAATAATCCGTGGTGGGTAATGAGTCAACTTTTGGTAATCCATAAACTCCTTTTCTATTTAGAACAAGGAAAAAGTAAGTCCCTTACCAAAATGAATAATGTTATTCATCTTCAGTGAGGATGAAAACACAGTTTAGGACCTTAGGTGACTGTAAATGATAGGTGAAATGAAAGGTGAAATTAAATGACTTATTTAATTTCACCTATCATTTTATGCCACATTAGCGCCACCTAGACTGTTTTTTCATCCCCAGTGGGGATAAATAGCATTACTCTACCAAAATATATGGTAATTGGAATTAGGATTTATTTTCCTAATAATACTCAATATTCACGGACTCTAAAAACAGATTAACATTTGTTTGGCACAAGTTTATTTGACAATTTTTACTTTTTTAAGACTTATTTTCAGTTGCACATTTTTTCAATAAAATAATTTTGCACGTAGACCTATAATATATTCGTACATTTTAAAAGCCCGGACTATGTTGGTCTAGTGGCATCCTTGTGGGCTTTTCGCCTTTTCCCACGTTTGTAGTGACCACCTTGGCCACTTGTAATACGATCTTATGAAGAATTCACTTTATATATTTTAAAATAGATAAACTAGGAATGTGTAAGAGAAATTTTTTATATTTCACAGAACTTAACATGTTTAAAATTGATTAGTCACCAACTTAACCTATTTGATCATCTTTAATATAGCAGTTATTAAGACAATAATTTTATTTGCACTACCAGATAATAAAAACAAATATGGCTTTAATGTTTTTACTTTCTTCTTTCTTTTGCCAGATAATCTCTTTCATTTTACACCAAACATTTATGTTAGACTAGTTTTTAGAGTCAAAAATAGCAATTAATGATTTTATGTTTTTATTTCTGGAATCTGAAATCTAAAACCTAATTTGGAGTATTGAAATAAAAGTTTGTACACCTATACAAGTCGGAATTTATTTTTGAGTGCAATGCGAATGAAATTAGCGATGACTATCTGCTGCTAGCAATAGAGTTTGAGTCCATTTGGAATCGAACTTACTATTCTATGCTTTCCTCATTCAAAGGACAGGTCTGGGAATATATGGCACTCAATCTTGTAGACAGCTTAGATCCTAGCAATATTCTTTTCAAAAAATCAGTTTATCAAAATGGAACTGTTTATATGATTTCTGACTACACAGCTCCATATCGTTGCCCATATCCTTTGGCCTACAATATTCAAAATCGTGAAGGAAGATTCCTGAAAGTGCCAAAAAAAGCCAGAAAAGAAGTGGGGCATTCTAAAAGATCCACCGCAGGAATTTTCAAGAACTCGTCGAAATCCATTGGTTTTGTTATTCTCATTGACAACGTATTTACTGTGTGGTTTCTTATCGATAAAAAAAAAGGGTTTATGGAAGCAGGTTTTCAGAAGGCGCGCGAAAGCTATGGGACTGATGGAGACCGATCTAAAGGTATCTCATTTGACTGTTCAGAATGGACACATTCTACTTATTACAACAGAAGAAAAGGTTTATCGGTGCAATTTGACAATAGGGGATCGTACTAACAATGGATCACGAGTTGAGGAAGTTTTTGGTCAGGGGTGTGGAGAATGGGATAACTTTTATTCCTATACTAGTAGCCTTCGTCCATGTCTGCCGGACGCAACAAAATTGTCTGCACAAATTCTGAAAGAGACTTAGTTCTCCTGTTATTACATATAGACCAGAGCAGTTCATCTGTTAAAATTGGCACAAATAAATATTTCCTCATGCATGTTTAGTTTCTCTCGCCTAATTGCGTTTTGCAGAACATTTCTGATTGTGGATGATTTATTCAACAAGTTTTGTTTCATACATATAGAGTTTTGGATAATAGGATATGATTATATTCATTGTCATACTCGTTCACTTTCATTCAGCATTTAAAATCAAATCTCGAGATTACTATGGGATTGCTGAAAATTAAGTCTATGTTTGGCTCATTGTTTCCAGGTGTTTATATAAAGAATTTTGCTACTTGTACCTTGGCCTTCACCTGCTGGATGACACGGTGACGTGGAAAAGGCTAATTCTTCTTTTTTTTTTTCCCAAACAAAAAGGCTGAACAGGCCTTGGCCTTTTGAATTAATGGGCCGGTTTTACAATTGGAGCGGGAAACAAAACCCTGGAAGGAGAGGACGTGAAATTCAGTACAAAAATTCAAAAGACTTGGTGAATATATTGCCCGCGATTTCTTTGGCCACGAAAGTTGAAACCTACCGTCCAGAGTTGAAGAAGCTGTCATCGACGTAAAAATAGTTCCTTTTGAAGTTGTCGTCGGCTTCATCGAGTCGAATAGATGACGGACGAGGGTAGATAAAGTTTTTTTGCAATGTGAAAATGCCGAAATCTCCCATTTTGGTTTGAAGGGTATAATGAAACGAACTACAAAAAATTGCAATAGAATAATTTTTTGCAGATTTTAGTAATTTTCAATACATTGTTGAGGAAATCACATTATTTAGGAGGGATAAAATTAATGGCCTCCCCAGCAACACTATAGTCACAGATTGGAAAAAAAAAAATTTGAGGTAGTCACACATTCTATGGTATAAGCTTTTAATTTGATAAAACTTTCCATTAACTTGGGCTATTTGCTCATACATTGG